CTCGTTTGTAAAGGTTTGTAAAGACAAAATTTTCGTTTGTAAAAAAACACAAAAAAAGTTATTAAAAAATCAAATTGGGGTGGCTGGGGAAATGGGGGTATTTTGGAAAAACACAACTTTTTTTAGCTCAATCGTTTGTAACTCGTTTGTAAAGGTTTGTAAAGTCAAAATGTTCGTTTGTAAAAAAACACAAAAATAGTTATTAAAAAATCAAATTGGGGGGGGCTGGGGAAATGGGGGTATTTTGGAAAAACACACCTTTTTTTAGCTCAATCGTTTGTAACTCGTTTGTAAAGGTTTGTTAAGACAAAATTTTCGTTTGTAAAAAAACACAAAAAAAGTTATTAAAAAATCAAATTGGGGTGGCTGGGGAAATGGGGGTATTTTGGAAAAACACAACTTTTTTTAGCTCAATCGTTTGTAACTCGTTTGTAAAGGTTTGTAAAGTCAAAATTTTCGTTTGTAAAAAAACACAAAAATAGTTATTAAAAAATCAAATTGGGGTGGCTGGGGAAATGGGGGTATTTTGGAAAAACACAACTTTTTTTAGCTCAATCGTTTGTAACTCGTTTGTAAAGGTTTGTTAAGACAAAATTTTCGTTTGTAAAAAAACACAAAAAAAGTTATTAAAAAATCAAATTGGGGTGGCTGGGGAAATGGGGGGATTTTGGAAAAACACAACTTTTTTTAGCTCAATCGTTTGTAACTCGTTTGTAAAGGTTTGTAAAGTCAAAATTTTCGTTTGTAAAAAAACACAAAAATAGTTATTAAAAAATCAAATTGGGGTGGCTGGGGAAATGGGGGTATTTTGGAAAAACACAACTTTTTTTAGCTCAATCGTTTGTAACTCGTTTGTAAAGGTTTGTAAAGTCAAAATGTTCGTTTGTAAAAAAACACAAAAATAGTTATTAAAAAATCAAATTGGGGGGGGGGGCTGGGGAAATGGGGGTATTTTGGAAAAACACACCTTTTTTTAGCTCAATCGTTTGTAACTCGTTTGTAAAGGTTTGTTAAGACAAAATTTTCGTTTGTAAAAAAACACAAAAAAAGTTATTAAAAAATCAAATTGGGGTGGCTGGGGAAATGGGGGTATTTTGGAAAAACACAACTTTTTTTAGCTCAATCGTTTGTAACTCGATATTAATATGATAATTTAGAATTTTCAACTAAGTATCTTCTCATGAGTAATGTTGTTAAATTATATTACCAAACTATTATAGTTCTTCGTTCAAATACCTAATATCTTCCAAACTTTAAATTCAAATACCTAAATGTAAAGGAATTCTGTGTTTATATATATTTTAGATTTTTTTGGTTACTGTATGAACTATTTACAAGGGACCTTGTTTTATATTTTTAATCTTTACCTATATATTTTATACATTTTTAAGAGCATAATAATTTGTATATTGTCAATATAAGAAATGAATGAGGGTCATAGTTATATAGTTTATATAGTCATATAAATTTATAGTATTATTTTGTGCAACACGGAGAGTGTTACCGTAACGTCATCATGTTGAGACTGAGAGCCTAAATTACAATTATTATATTTTTCTACACGATTACACGTTACAGTTTCCATGACAACCAAACAATAGATTGAAATAATGTTATAATATCCCTAGGTTGACCTTAAACTATTTTAGACTTTGAGCATATTAAATTTACAATACATATACATTATACATGTACCCATATATCTACAATATATACATTATACATGCAGTGTGGATACTCATTGATTTATTTGCAATTTTGTATCGTACAATGTATGAGGAGCTCAAAGAGTCAAGTAAAACGAGTCATAATACTTTGAAAATTTAATCAACATTGACACATTGTTTCTACAGTTATTCGTTTTTAAATCAAAACCAAAGAAGCAAATCACTCTGTCTGTCCGAGAAAGAAAATATTGATTTTGTAAAAAAAGCCTAAGACGTAATTTACGTATGTACAAAATAGATATACCCGGGCCACAATTTACATAAAAATTTAAAATGGTACGAAATTTACAGCGACCCTTAAATTTAACCTCAAAAGTACCTACTAGGTTCACTTTCCAGTCAGAAAAAATATTGAAGTTTAAAATCGAAGAATTATTTCTACAACAATAAGTGTTTATAGAATGAAAAAAAACATATAATATCATTTTAAAATCGATACATTCATCTGTCCGCTCAGACTATACATTTTAGAAAACAATTTATCATCCATCATAAATACTAGTATTGTACATTTGTACCTACTGTGAAAAATTGAAATTTATACTTAGACATATTATGTCGATGGCTGTAGCCCATATTGATTATGAGTATTTTTTCAAACTAAATACTTATTACCCTGATTTCTAGCCCAAAATGCAACGTTGCCGTTTTAGATCGTTTAAGACGAATCATAAAAAAGATAAGCATTTTAAAAATAATGATAAATACTGTACAGTATACTTATTATTTAAATTATAATAATAATAATTTTTATTTTTATTCACGGAAAAATTTTCCAATTACATAAAATAAAATATATGACATAATATGATTACAAATAATGTAACAAGTATGTTATAAGAGTAATAGTATATAGAAATAGAGATAGCTAAAAAATAATATAATATATATTATATTAAATAGTTAAGTGAATTTAATAAAATAAAAATCAATGTGATATGAATTAAATAAACTAACGGAACAATAGGCTGATAAATATATCAGTGTTATTGGTTAACCTTTATATGGCATAAACTACTTAGGTAGCTACTATGGTCAATGGACCATGGGTAAAATATGTTGGTATAATGGTATGTAATATGTACTAATAGTTTTATTTGTAAAACGGTAAACGAAGACAACGTCCTATATTAGTAGTGTTAGTACACTCTGCATTACTCAATATGATATTTAATATTTAATAAAATAATATGTATAATATAAATTTTAAATTGAAATAATCAAATATAAACTCAACAAATATAATATTACTAATACTTAATAGGTTATAATAATTTAAAAAAAAATACATTTTAATTTAAATTGTACCATTAGTAAAATATTATATAGGGAATATTCATAGTTTCGAAGTGTTTATTGTATTGATTTTTTGGGAATCCCGTGTCTCGTCGTTTACTCGTTCGGCCGTTATTTACAATAGTACCCACTTGGTAGTGTGGAAGTGACACTACTAATCACGTGCCGATGAAAACAAATATAATAAAGATATCAATATAAAATAATGACGATAATAATTATGATAATATTATCAGATATCATCATAATACCTCATTACAACTGCCCATGTGTTGTTATAGAATATGTTAATAATTTTATTTTTTTATGGAAGAATATTATAGTACATTATTATAATAATAACTTACATATTATAAGTAACATTAACTATGCCAAAAAAAGGTGCATTATCTCACAAATGTATCATTGAAGGTGCTATATTATTCAAAGATAAATTGATACAGGACTATGGTTGTGGAAATAGTAAGTTATACAGTTTAATTCATGAATAACATTTAGCAAATTGATAGTAGTATTATATTATAAGAATAAAATTCATTATTTTTAATAAAAAAAGTATACATAGGTACCTAGTATTTGTTATATTAAGGTGACTTCCCCAGCGTTTACCTTGGCTTCAATAAATTATAAACTTTTAATTTATATAAACTCCATCCGACGTGGTCAAGGGACGAGTGATTAGAAATGCTATTATGACTTTACATTAATATTTTAGTTTATAGGTAAGTCAGTTGATCAAAGTAGTTAATAGCTAGGTAATACAGATACACCATCGTCCATCTGTGGTGTGTAATTATAACGTACCAAGAAAGTAACGAGTTATCTACTGTACATTTAGTACATTTAGTACATTTAGTTATCCGACATAGCCACATAGGTATTTTGTTTGTAACTCGTGTAAGGTTGGATCATAGAGTAATATAGAGATGCCGTTCGAAAAAAAAAGTGAAGCGGAAAAGGTGTATGTTTGCCAGTGTTGCCTATCTAGTGGAAAAAAATTATGTTGTCACAAAGTGTACGATAAAATGAAATCACATTTCGTAACTTCATTGCATTTTTTTTTACATTTTTTTTAATTTTTAAGTGTATAAATATGTGCATATTTAGCAATAATTTTTGCATAAAAATCGGGGCCCTTGTTATAGTATATAATAGCTTATAATAGTTTTGCTCTTTTGGTGTACGATTGACAGTCTTGTAAAAGATACTTTTAAAAAGTATTCAAGTACAGATACAAATACTTATTTTCAATAGTATTTAAAATACGTATTTGGACACTTGGAAAAAAAAGTATTTTAAGTATAAATACGAATACTTTTAAAAAGTATTTAAATATACTTTCAAATACTTTTTTTTTTATGTTTTACCTTTTTACCTTAACCTTATAGATAAACTTAATCATTAGTAAACTGAATTAATTTTTTATTTCAGCATTCTAGTTTTACTTAAATTAATTAGAATAAGAATTCAGCACTTTTGGTACTTGGTGTATGTTGTAACTGTAAGTACCATCAAATACTATAGCTTGGACAACAATGTACCTAATGTACAACACACATCATTAGTATTTTAAAATTTACTAATTTTATAAATATGGCATAGTAGTTCTTATTATTTAATATCAAGAAAAACAGCTATATTTTTTTTATTTTAATTTTGTATTTACAGTTGACACATGTATTAATCTAATAATCTATAATAAATAATTTATTGCACTTCAGTACATAGTATAACTTTTTCATAGAATACTTTTACTCAAATACTTTACAAGACAGGCGATTGATTCTGTTATTTTCACAGTGGTGTAGCATTGAATCCTGAAAATACAATAACAGTAATAGTAAATAATAAACTATAAATTCAATTATTGTCATTTAAAAATATTTAGTTTATTAAACTATATACACAATACACAAGTTATAAGTTATTAAATAAATGGGCGAAGAGACTATAGAATAATAATAAACAAAAACTAAATTATTGTCCTTTAAAAAGAGTAAGTTTATTAAACCACATCCGAACAGAAGGGGTTTCATTGTGTTTTTTTAAACTGTAATTTATTTTTATATTTATATAAGTAGAAGATATAGATTTTATTAAAAGAGTTGTATGGTCGGCTAATGGACTTCTGGTTTCAGTACTATGATTTTTTAATGATTTAAATATCTTTGAATTAAATACAAAATGTTTAAGGACATCGGTTTGAACTTGTAATTTATTTACAGCTTTAGAAGTATAATCATATTTTCTCAAAATGTTTTCTGTAATGAAACAAACATCTATGACATCTTCGCTTGGAAAAATAAGTCCACCATGAATGCCTCCCTTATTTTTTAATGTTATCAACGAATTTAGAAAACATTCTTTTTCGGCAGCACACAATGCATGTTTGCAAACATCACATTTCAGTACATTGGTCAATTTATGAACTACAAATCCTGAAATATAAACAATGATTTCTTTTGAAAAATTACTAAAAGAGTATGAACTGTGACTTCCAATATAATCATGGTCCATTATAAATGCAGAAATATCTTGTTCATTTTCTTCATCAATTGGATCAAAACTGCAACCTGAAGAATTGTTATTTAAAACAGTAACTGGATCTGAACTGGAGTAGTGAAGAATATCTATCTCTTCAAGTGGTATACAATTACCAGTATTAAAACTTTGTATATCATTTGTTCTGATAACTAATTTTTGGTATGCTGAACGAAACTGCCTCACTGTTGGATTATTGTTATGCCCACCGTGGGCCCTTATACTACCGAAAAACAGTTCTACGTGATCTTGGCTTAATTTATAAATTTTTATATGTTGTAAGACATCAGTTTCCACAAACAAAGTATATAGCTGTAAAATACTATTTAAACTGACTATAAATCCAAGAAACCCAGTTTTTCGTTGTGATTCAAGTACGGGTGTAAAAACTCCTGGTCTATCTTGAATTTTAAGACCTTTAATATATGTTGTCATTTTTTCTGTGAACAATCTAACTTCTTGAATGTTTTCTTCACATAGTGCTTTTTTAAATCCTACACAGTTGATAGATTTTGAGTTTAATATGTCAAAGCCAGTATTAAAGAGTTCGATAAATTGTATGGTAGCACATGCATTAGAAAACTCTTTTAGTTTGAGGCTATCTTTGCAAAATGTCAATGCATCTGCTACTGACTGACTAAGTAGTTGGGTTGCAAGTTTTACTTTCATCTTTTGTTTGAAATAAAGAAGATGCTGTTTTCGCAGTTTATTAGCAAGATGGCATCCTTCCTTCTCTTGCAAATAACACAATTGCCGGACATATTCAAATTTTATTTCATTATTTGCACTATCTTTAAAGACCTTCTTTTCACCAAAAGCATTACGAACCAATTTGATCATGTGTGCAGGATCAAAAAGGGTTACAATTTTTGGATTACTTTCAAAGCCAGAAGAAAAAGATGTATCTAATGCACTCAAAACATAATTACAACCTAAAAGTTGAGCTGCACTAATATTACTAGAACAACCATCAAATGTTAAGCTCAAGACTTTTACACCAGTGCTGTTCAATACATTTAATGCGTGGCGAACTAGTTCAACTTTCTGTGCACTTTTTAAAGCATCCACTACAAAATAACCAATTGGTAACTTCCAATTCTCATTTACCGAGACTGCCATAAAAACTAAACATTGTTTAGCTGTGTTTAAACTATCATTATCCATATAATTTCCCATATCAACCCTTCCATAATACTTAGTACCATCAAATTCCAGGTGTTGTCTTATAGCCATTTCATCCATAGACAAAGCTAATAAAATAGGATGGGGTGAATTATTTACTTTAAGAGTTAGCATCTTTAACGACTCTTCAGTAAAACCTGGTTCAGCATTGACATTTCTGTACCATTTACTAAGAGTTCTACTATGAGGCAAAATCGTGTCAAACTGCTGTCTTACATACGAATATGCTTTAGCAGAAAAAAAATGTAATGATAAAGCAAATTGACGAATGGTGGCACTATATTTCTTTGGAACTTTTTTACCTAATTTTTTTTTTGTCCAATTGGTTATCAAATCTTTATGCTTACCAAAAGTTTCAGACAGGGTATAACTGGCTTCCTCGTCAATTAAATTTTGTTTTTGAAGCTCGGAAATTATATTCTTCATAGATGAAATTCTTTTACTTTGGCGCCTTATTTTTTGCTGAAGGGTTTTCATTTTAATATTTTTGATAGTGACTTCATGTGATAGTTGGCGAAGATTTTTTTTCAATGCGATTTTGCGTGGAGTGTCATCTGGAACTATCTCGGTGTCTATGGACATTGTGGATGAGTGAAGTACATTCTAAAAAAAAAATTATAAATAAACAAATATATTGCAATTTTATGATTAATGTACGTACAATTGTATTATATTTTTTAATATTACCGAGATATTTTTATTGGGTGTGATTGTTTCACAATTCATCATTGATACAGAAGAATTGTCTAATGGTAGTACTCCTTCTTCTTCACTAGAACTTGATTGAACTGGTTCCAACAAAGATACTCCGTCTACCTCTATATTGCTCAAAGGACACTAAAAATAACAACATAAAAAATGTTGAGACTTGATAAGCAACAAATAAACATTTTAACAGAAATATAATATTAACAATGACCAAATATGGTGACTGTTAGTTTGATAGATAAATTGTATGAATTGAAGAAAATGTTACTTATACCTTTTCAAAATAATATTAATAAAACTTTAAGCAATTTTCATTTATCTGAAATTTAAATTATAAGAACTAGACCCAATTGCTTTATGTTTTATTAGTATTAGGTAGTATATTTTTGTAATTTATTCTATTCTATTGTGTATTGTAAATTATTATTAATTATGACTCACCTTTACTAAAGTTCTGGTAACATTTAAAGAAGCAATATTATCAACTGAATCGCTAGCAGAACTAGTATAAAAAGTTTTAATTACAGGCAAGTTGGTTACAGTTTCTGAGTATTGTTGTTTAGCCTAAAATAATAAATGTAGATTAGATACCTATCCGTTATGGAGTTACTTTGTTTTGTTTTAATCTACTCAAAATGCACACTTACACATTTTATTCTGTTGATAATTTTAGTTGGAATCAGGGACTGGAACCGTACCGAAAAGAACCGGTTTTGGAACCGGAACCCTTTCAATAAACCTCACCGAAACCCTAATTCAAATTAATTTTAAAACCGGAACCTCACCGGAACACTTATTTAAATTTATTTAAAAACCGGAACCTTACCGGAACCCTTATTTATATTTATTTAAAAACCGCAACTTAACCGCAACCCATACTTTTTTTTAAAGGTTTTTACAATTAATTTCGGTTTTGTTATATCATTAATTTTATTTAATATATCTGTTAATTGTCATTGGTACATGGTAGATAATATGAACTAAACAAATACGTAAATCTATTATTATTATTAAGAGGTTAATTATACAAAAACAATCATTCAATATTAATTGTATTTTGTACGTAACAACTGATAATGTAATAGAAATGAGAAATTCCCAATAAAAATAAGTCATTATTTACTGCATATTATTATATGTAGGTACCTATAGGGGTTCCAGTTACCACAATACCTAGCAATTCTCAATATATATGGTTAATATTGTTACGGAACAAACACCCACCAAGGAAAGACTATTGGAAAAAAGGACACGATATGACGAGTGAAAATCACACATGATAGATAGGAATGTCCGTTCAACGGTGTGATTTTCACTCGTCTAAAACATATTACACGGACCAATCAACGATGGACTAGATTGTCGAAAAGGGTATAAATACCGGACACTCTCGACAATCTAGTCAGTCCACTTCAATCTTTCAAACTATCAACATCTCCAAGAAACGTTCCGATAGCAAGAAGACCAGGACCCCAGCGATCGACCGCCGAAGACCGACGACAACGCCGCTCCACGGCTACCAGCGCCATTCGACCGCAGACCACCGCCGTTCCCGATTGCGTATATCATCATACCGACGCATATCGACAACGACGCCGCTCCACGGCTACCAGCGCCATTCAACCGCAGACCACCGCCGTTCCCGATTGCGTATATCATCATACCGACGCATACCGACAACGACGCCGCTCCACGGCTACCAGCGCCATTCGACCGCAGACCACCGCCGTTCCCGATTGCGTATATCATCATACCGACGCATATCGACAACGACGCCGCTCCACGGCTGTAAACGTCATTCAACTGCCGAACAATAACGACCCGTCGACCACCTATCTACGGGCGCGAAGATCGGTCGATCAACAACGCCATCATCGTCAGGACCAACCGACCCCGTGACTGCCGCTCAACGGGGAGAGACCAGTGTCAGTGTACTCTTGCCGTGACGAGGCCGCCCGACCGCCACTCAACCACCCCAGCCTGCGGGATCACCGGATAGGCCGACCACTCACGGCGTGACAACATTAAAAGGCCCTTTTCAGGGCCACCACGACCCCAACCTCGGCACTTAGTTATCCGACCCAAGTCTGGTTCGTCGTCGGGGTGCCGCTTGACTTAAGTCTGCACCGACGACGGCCGGCTTCCTAGCCGATCATATTGTATAACTTATATAAATCGTTATAAAAACACTTGTGAAGATAGGGTCCGACAATTGTCCGACCACAATACCCAAGCGCCTCCGATTGTGCCGACTCACTTATTTAAGTCCGGTCGGCACAAATCGACGCTTTACTTGTCCCAACATTGTAAATATAAATTATAATTTAACCAAACAATAGAAAAACTTGATTATCGAACACACAATTGTTATTTTATTTACGACACGGGTCGTCCAATCGGACGCACCGTTTCAATATTTATAAATAACTAGGCATTTTATGATTGTGTATATTATTACTATTAATACTATCGTTATCTGACGTACAGTACGCCTCGCGCAGTCGCGTCCTACTATTCTTGTCTATGGCCTGAGCTGTAAACGCGTTTCTGTGCTATGTCGCTGTACCTTACTTTAAAACTTTTTAAATTTAACTAAAGAGTAAGTTTTGCTATATAATTTACATTTTTATAAGTTTTGTTTTATTTTAAAATTTAAAATATTATTTGTTAGGTACATATTATAAGTTTATTAGGTACTTAATTTTATGTATAAGTACATAACATTTTAATTTGAAAGGGGTTTTTTTTTATTTTAAATAAGATTTTATTATAATCCATTATGATGTTTAAGACGTTTAAGTTATCCTTATCATCAAATATTCAAAGGTATATAATTTAATTGTCATAAGTACCAATATTATAACTAATGTATGAATAATATCTTTACATTTCAAACGTTTTATTTTATCTTTAACGTAATTATATGTGTATTATATTAATTTTTTGTATGAGTAAAATGATTTTTAATTGTCACTATCATTAAGTATTCTAAAATGTTTTGATTTTAACTTTTTACAGATTATTATAAATAATCCTGTGAAAGTGGAATAGACTTTCCAATCTACTATCTTCTTAAACCCCTGACCACAAGTCTCTAGCCTAAGAAAATATAATATCTGGTAACTGGTGATAAAAAAAAAATTATTTTTAAAATCTTAAATACTGAATAATAATGCAACAAGTAGTAATTGGTAAATGCTACATAGTAATCTAGTAAAATACAAAAAGTGTTATTTGAAACGGGATAGTACATGATGTTATTTAGTCCTTTCCTTTATCCTAAGCAATTGGTAGAATATCTGGTAGAAAAATTAGTATTGACGCCAACGAAACTTATCAAATATTTCTTACATGAGTGTTAACTTTCAAGTATAAAACCTAAACAGGAATTTCATTTCAGTTTTCATTTTTAAAGAACCGAAAAGAACCGAAACCTACATTTTTGTTATTTTAAAAACCGAAACCGAAATTTCGATTTTTTTCAAAACCGAAAAGAAACCGAAACCGAAATTCTAGTTTTTTTTAAAAACCGAAAAGAAACCGTAACCGAAATTTTAGTTTTCTTAAAAACCGAAAAGAAACCGAAACCGAAATTTTAGTTTTTGTAAGAACCGAACCGGAACCGGAACCTTCAAAATCATCAAGGTTCCAGTACCTGGTTGGAATAGCATGTTTAAGTAACAGTCTTCTATCCTTTCCCATTACAAAAAATGAATCGTCAAAATGTGCTGAACAAACTAAACTTGTCTTTGATACTTTATCAGGTAGTATGCCATTTTCTCCCAAAAAATTGTACCATTTATTCTTGTAAGTGTCTTTAAGCGGAAATCTGAAATAAATAGTCAAAGTAAAAGTCTATCATAATCACTTCTAAAAAAAAAAAAATTGAAAATAAAGATTTCATTTCACAAGATAACATACCTATGAAAAGTTATATTAGCCGATTTAGCTTTGGCATTGTTGGTTCTTCCACAAACTAGACAACTAGGCATTTTTAACTACCAGCAAAAAGAAATAAAAACAGTAAAAGCAAGTTGCAAAATAAACGACAGTAAAGAGTAATACTGAATTACTGAACGATCATACGGCATCGGGCATGGGTATAAACCACGGACTAAGATACTAAACAGTAAACGAGTAAACAAAAATAATGAAGTTAAGAATTACTCATGGCATATTAGAGGGAAACAACACACGAGATAACAAATGTATCAAAGATAACGGCATTACAGGTGAATCGTTTTACCATATATTGTACAATAATTTTTGTGTACTATCCACTTAAACTGGCAATCATATACCTTTTGCGCTTCACTTTCTTGTGCAGCTAAGATATGTAAAGCCCTCTCTATATTACTCTATGGGTTGGATAGGTAATTTCCATATACTTGTTTTTAAGTAACGAAAATGTAACAGAAATGTAATGAAAATAACTTATCATAAGTAATTAATATCAATGGTGGTTTTGAAATGTATTTTTACGTGAGGTGACCAAATATTAAACACAGTATTATCAATTACTCCAACACAGTAACACGTCATGTATAAATTATTATTTAAATAGTATGGGTCATGACCACGGGGCTGCTCTCTGCTATCTCGTCCATATAAAATTATGATTCGGTTATCGTCGCCATAATAGAGAAATTCCGCTATTAGCGCCACATATGCGTTCGCCCAACAAAATCGCAACAACCGATAACAACAATACGTAAAAAATAAAAATATGTGAACATTTACTTTTTACTATTATTTTTACTACTATTATTAATTGTCGTAGAGGTATTGTACCACTAACTAGTCGTGACTATATTAAAATATATAGCATAATAACATTTAGTAACTTTTTATTTTAGTATTATAGTTTAATTATATTTCATTATGAGATGGATCTGCTAATATACATACATTTTAAAACTAGATTATTTACTAGTGATTCATATATTTATTTTAAACTTTTTGTGTGTAATATTAGATATCTATAATTTATTTATTATTGGTTTGTCCCCAACAGGCACCATATAAAATTCCTCGGCTTAAAGAAAAAGCAGTTCCATCTAGGTACTGTCCAAAATATTTATCAAGGCCATTAAAACATAGAAGACCCCCTTTATTTTCCCAAAAATATAATGCTGAAACAAAAAAAAGAAAACATTATAAAAAAAAGGTTTCAAAAATTTACTTTAAGTTAGGCATTACTTAACTTAATTTGTACATAGTAATAATTGTTTTAAATAAAAAAATTAATTAATGCTTCATTACAATAGTTTGTGTTTTGTAGACATTTTTTCAATTGACTATTACCTACTACTTTTATTTTCTGATTTATTAATACCTACCTTTATTTTATCATATTATGGCTACATTAGTAAAATAGTTAACTTTATCCTGGTCTGAATAAATTATTTTAGATATTAATAAATTACATATTCAACTAATTATTAGGTACAACATATTTTGATTTTGATATATACTAAAAATATAGACGGCTTTTTTTTATATTTAAGAAAGAACTGTTTTTTTAATTTTTGATTTCATTTAGTTTTAACGAGTATGCATTAGGTACAATATATTATAATTGCAATATGTTAAGCTATATTTTCTGATGAACCTACTTTTAATGAAAATTTATAATAAATATTATAAATCATTATTACTTAACCTTAACAAAATAACTGCATCAGACTACTGATGTATTCAATATCATGATTTATAAAATAAATATGTTAAATTGTTACACTGTATGTCATTTCGTTGTTAATAAATTATTATTCTTCTTCTTCTTGGGTTAATCGGCCGCTAGGACCATCCCGTCTCACAACCAATTCTCCAGGCATCTCTATTCATCGCCAAATCCTTCCAGTTTGCTCCGCCTCCTAAGTCTTCTATATCCCTCTTAACTAAATCTTCCCATCTCAATTTTGGTCTTCCCAAGGGCCTTTTTCCTACTGGATTCTGTTCTAGAACCATTCTTAGTAAAGAGTTCTGGCTTCGGAAATTATTATTATTAAAAAAAAATAAAATAAAAGTATGACAATAATCATCAAAATGTTTGCATAACCCTATTCCCGAATTTCAATCATTATTAATTATAATAATAACTCCTATTTTATTTTTAATCGATGAAAAATGAAAATATATTATATTTTATAATATAATATATTGTACAACATATAATTAATTGCAGATCAACTTGAAGTTGGTAAATTTGAAGCATTACTTGTTTGTATACGTTAATTATTACGCTTCTACATTGGCGGCATTAGGGCGAACGCATAGTAGCGACCCTAGCGGATTATTATTGAAATGGCGACCATAAGTGAATCACACTGGTCGAGGAGTAGCCTGAGACTGACATTTGAAAATAAATTGTACATTATATTAGTTATAACTAGGGATGAAAAGTTGTAGTATTTGCATATTTTTTCTGTATCTTCTATATATAGCTAAAAATCTGTTCTATAACCTAATGAATTGAAATTTGGTATTTAAATATTGCATATTTTTGCGTATTATATTTGTAGTTTTCTTAAAAGTTGCATAATTTATGTTATTGTTGTGCATAAAAATGCATATTTAGTAAAATTATGTGGATTTTAATACAATTGACATTAAAAATGTATTATTATTGAAAATATTTAAAAAACTTTGTGGTTCAATGCAACAAATTTACAGTTACCGGTTATTATTAGTTTTTTTTCGATTAATGTCGATGTCAAAATTTTCACTCTGTCAATAAATTAAAAAATTAATACAAAGTTCCTCGTAATTGGTTTTTAGTGAAAATTGAAAAAAAATTTAAGCGTCAATCAATAATAGTTTTTATGAGCGTTTAAATTTCAAATTTTGCCAAAATCCGTAAAAATCGCGAAAATTTGCAAGTTATTTTAAGTTAGAAATTTATAAAAAATTTTCTTTTTATAGTTAAGATTTGTTAAATTAAACACAAGATTTCTCACAAGTTTTATTAAATTATTTAGTTGTCAAAAATCAATAAAACTTTAACTAAAACGCTAAACATTGAACATTTAAAATAAGGTTTCACATATTATTATGTTGTTCATTCTGTAACAAAAAAATCTAAAAAAAACCCAAAGATAATATAAAATATCCTTGACTGACATACCTTATCCGCTCAGAATCGTTTTTCGTATGATATTATATCATTGAATTCAAATTTAATACCAATCATAAAGTGACCCATTTGTAAGTTGTAACATACTGTACGCAGCAGAGCGACATACACTTACCCGCTTTTTACGATTTGTAACAATATGTTTAACATAGGAGTGGCGTTACTGTCAGATAAAGTTTGGAACGATTTATCGGAACATTTTAAGTATGTGATGTCACCAGCCGCTCTTCATGTGTTCATTAAATCTAACCGAGGAGGGATTTTGAATATCTTAGGATTGATTGAAGAGAAGGAAACACGACAAAAGTTGGCTGACCAGTTGAAAGACATCAACACTAATGAATGTTTGTACCTATGGTTTTATATTGTAAAATAAATACATACATACGATTTAAAATTAAAAAATAACTATATGTTTAGTTAGCTCAAGTTCTACTGAATACACCACAGACGATGATAATGATACTTTTCCACGTAAAAATATAATTATAACACTATCTCCAGATGAGTGGAAAACCATTGAGCCAGTTACCACAATTTACCACCGTCATAATCAAGCAAGAAAATACTTGACGTTACCCAAAAAAGATTGGTCGCACATCATCGCAGAACACTTTTGGGAACACACACATTTGCAGTGCTGTCTTGTTTTCAAGCGAGCTAAAGTATACGAAGCTGGACAAAACTATATTACCATTGTCGGGAGATGTAAAACATGCAACTCCTACTTTAAAGGAGTTATAGAACATAAACCTTCGCCCAATTCTAGGTATTTAATCTAATATTATATTTATTATTCTAATCAAACAACAATTTTCATAAATGTGTTTAAATTAAAATAATTCCAGAGTTATAATTGAATGCAAGTATATAGGAAATTTTTACGCTTCTCACGATGTACGTCATAAACGAAGAATGATAAATTCCGTTAAAGAAACACACCTAAGAAATATGTTGGATAATGGAAAATCGTCAGAGTTTGTTAGGGAAGAAGAAGCATTAAGATTTATAAAACAAGGTAAATTATTTGATTTGATTTACTTTATTTGTCCATATTAGTTGATATGATATCATTAAAGATCAATACGAATTTTTTCAAATATACATACAACACTAGACATAATTAACCAAGTTACGAAAAGCAATCGTTTAATCCTATTTATATTATTTTATTTATTTATTTAACAACGGTATAATTATTAATTGTATATGAAATAAATTATTTTGGTTAATAACCAATGTATAAGAGTATTATGATTATATATATAATTATTGGATATTATATTGATATACAACAACAATATCGCTCCCAGTTTTTCTACATTTTCTCCGGTTACAGTTGGTCGTTTTTTCCGTTTTAACTCTTAACAGTTCTATAAAAAGTGCGCGCGTAGACCGGTGTCGGTTTTGAGTCGGTCTGCTCAAAATTTTCCCTCCAAGGACAGCTGAATTGTTATCAAGTATTGATTTTCTTAAATCCCAACTCGTTGAGATAAGGTCGGAAAATACTACTCTCCGCAACGAAATTGCTACCCTCAATAACAGAATTCAAGTTTTGGAGAATTCTACTGATGGTTCAAGTAACATGCCCCAGCTGATCCAAGAATTGGCTAACGGTGAAATATGTGCTCGTAACATTATAGTACATGGTCTCCAAGAGTCTTCGTCCAATGATCCTAAAGTTCGAATTGCTTCTGATATTAAATTACTCGGTGATAATATTCATCCGATTAACTTAACTTTACCTCAAGATCTTAAGTTATTTAGGTTCGGCCGCAAGATAAGTGGTAAACCTCGACCTCTAAAGGTGGTACTTCAATCGAAGGAAATGGCTCTCAACTTGGTGTCTGTCTTCAA